CGTACCGTGAAAAAGAACAACCAACCAAAGCCATGATTGCAATGGACAACACCCGAACCTCTCCCGATCGTCTGTGTTATGTTACGGTTACATGGTTACGGTTGATAGGAGTTGCACCTTTGGGAGAATGCGTTGTTCCCATCAGGTACTAGCAGTAAGGTCCGGTTTGCCGGGCCCCGTCTTGAGGCTAGGATTGCCCCCTGCTTCACTCTTCTCCTTGACTATTCTAATGATATAATAGCCAAAAGTACAACAGCATTCCTTTTTCCGACGACACGACCGCAGCCTGCTGCACCTGCTGGTGGTCGTCGGTTGGTAGGCTTCAACTGAATCACAATAAGATCCCATGCATCTTTATCTTTTCGTTTGCGTGGAAACATTTATGCTTCTTTTGTTATGCTGTTGCACACAACTGCTGTTAGGATGGACGGAGGCGGGTGGCAGCTCGTACTACCACGCGGCCGGAGGAAGCCAACGATGGCAGAGACGGTGCGATCCACTTTTTCTCCCGATCGACTTGCCATTCAGCAAACCGCTAGTCTGACAAGAAACGAGTGACTAGACTATTGTCTTCGTTTTTTACGCAATCGTGAAAGAGCGTTGCATGACGACTGTGTTACAGAAACATGCCAGCATGCCAACCCTTGTACAGCGGTGTTGCAGGAACACGAAACCCACCCTTTCCCATCGACAGATTACCAAAACCAACCACTTTTAAATGCCCTTTTCTCGATGCTCAGGTTGATGATAACCATGCCACTGCGTTCGAGACCCCGGAGGTTATGGCCGACGGAAAGGCGTTGGAGATGCTGTCTCAACTTCGCCGTATTTTGCGCGACAGCAACGGCGGGCAGTTGATGAAGGTCGTGCCAAAAGTGCTCAGGCTGAAATCGCGGCGTTGACTGAAGAATGCACATTGCACCTCGTGCTTGGCGTCAAGCCGGGGTGCGTGCTTCCGGCGCAGCCAAAGAAGGTATGTTGAGTGCATTGCACCCGTGTAGGATGTTTTGTTATCGTCTGATGTCGAGCGGTCAGCGTACTCCTGCAGGCCGCGCTCATACACTCAAACACCACGTGGCTTTCGTCCTCTCGAATTTGAAGTCCTTTGTAAAACATTGAATTGCTTTGCATGACCACAAAAACGTTGTTTCATTACAGAGTGCGGTAACTCTCGAGATGGGCATTGACTTCCACGAAGGGCATTGAATCCAATATGCAAGGGTGCACGCAAGTCATCTCGCCCACGTAGGCACCCCGGGAGGGCCGAACAAAATTATCGTTTTTCCCTCTTGTGGGGTCAAGGGCTTAGAGAACACTCCGCGCCAAGCTTCCTACGGGGGACTTATCGTGCGCTAGGGTTAGGGTTGACGTTTCACTCAAACTTAAAGCGGGTTGGAGCTGGCGGGGTGGAGTCTCTCTTGATGTGTTACGCACCCGTTTCGTGTGATCATGGCTTTGGGGTTCGCAAGAGAGAACTTTACAGCTCGCGCATAGGATACCCGGGCAATTAGTCTACCGGTTACCCCCCCCTACCCCCCAAAAATACCCCAAAGAATTACTTGGGTACATTGGTATCGAAGACAATATGTTTTGCGCATCCTTGCAATATCCCCAAGAAAATTATTACTTTGCTCTAATGGTGGAGGCCGACATTTGGATGACCCAAGTCGATATTGTTGCCTCGATAGCACGTCACAACAGCATATCACCTCCTCTTGTTTTCTTTGTTCGTTCTTAAATCTGTTCCATACTCTGGAGGGCGGACGCCGTATCGACGAACTTGCCACTATGGTGCTATCGAAGGTGTTACGCACGTCTTTTGAGGCTCGCCACGTTGAGCCAGATAGCAACTGCTGGTGGAGGTCGTTGTCGTTGAGCTTCTTAGACAGCGATTGCTTCTGGCTGCAGCTGAAGCTTGTTTCGCTGGTCCATGCGGCTGCAAACGTAGACCAGTTCTCTCTGCTCGTCCCTGGAGGCAAGATAGACCACGACATATTTGTTGAGCACTCGCAAGATGCCTACGTGGTGTACGGCGACGGAAGCACGAAATTCGTACAAGCCGACGTTTGCAGAGACAAGATGGTCATGGCTTCGATCGCAAGGCTGTGCAAGCCCGGAGCTTTCGCGGGTGCCGTAGCATGGGTTGCGGCTTCCGAGGCATTGGGCGTTCCGGCGAACGTGATGCACCCCATGGACACTACGGCGAGGAAGAGGATGGACTTGGGGCTTGTCAGATGGTGCGGGGCAGGAGGTGGATGGGGAGGGATATCAATGGATTTACTCCCACCGCCCACAGAAGACCCACCTGTGGCTTTTGCCTGACGCCGGAGGAATTGCTCGTGAAAAAGTGAACATCATCATGGTGAAAAGCTCCCCGGCCCTGGAAAACTCCACCGAAGAGCAACTGCAAGCTGTGGGGGAGGTGCAGTACGACACTCCAAACATCGACGATACGACCGACCACTGTGCGGCCGTTGTGGTGAAGGATGGCACCACACTTCTGTGCCCCATACATTTGATTGCTCCCCGGCAGAGAGCAGCCGACGACGCGAGTGGTGAGGACGACTACGACAGGCGGGTTCTTGCATGCAAGGAACAACAGGCCGTTCGAGAACGACAAGCCGCTGGTGTGCAAGCCGGCAGTGACAGTGACAGTGACAGTGACAGTGGCACAGTGGCGGCCGACACGACGGCGTCAGAGGTGGCGGCGGAGGAGGTGGCGTGGCGTTGTTGGCGGTGTTGGTGTGCAGGACAGGACGCCAAGCGAGAACAGCAGTTACGCCAGCGTAAGAAGCAGCAAGGTGCAGTACGCTCGCATCCTCGTCCAGATGACGGAGGGTCCGGAGAAGCAGCCGCCCGGCCGTTGCGGCCCCTTCTTGCTGCCGCCCCTTCTGCTCCTGCTTCTCACTTTCTTTCTGGGGTGCCGCTCTGCACGATCTGCACATCGGTCGTCGAAGGGAATCGTTGCCCGAACATACGCTGGTGTGGCGGCATTGGCTGAGATGATGCTTGCAGCTTTGATGGCGGCGGTACAGCACCTAGCTCTAGGCTCTAGTGGTGTTGCTGTGCTGGAAGCGGTGGTGGCAGGGGCGCCAGACGTTCCTGAATCCTCGGGGTTCAACGTGTCATCGGAGGAGGAGGAAGGCCAGTAGGCGGGGTATTTAGCATTGGACGGGGTAGACAATGGCAGTTTTCCTCGGAAGACGGAGGGAGAGGCAATGTGTGAGGGCAGCTGTGTCGTTTTGAGGTTTCCGAAAGGGGGAGGAGGAGGAGGAGGAGGAGGAGGAGGGGGCGGGCCCGGAGCGCCTTGCAAGGCCGAAGAAGGAAGGGATACCTGGCGTGTGATGGAGAACGTGTTGCGAGAAGGGCTGGCGCCAGGTGCCCGTGGGATGAAGATGACGAGGTGGGGTTATGTTTGTCAGTAAATGTGAAGTCTGAATTGAGGATGCCTTCCTTTGTTGATCGGGCAGCGATGCTGTTCAATGACATAACATTCAGCCCCGACACTAAAAATTGGAATGGGCCATGATAAACGAGCCCGAGCGGTGATCAACGCGTACGTGAGAAGAGACACGGTGCATTCGGTGAACCCGAAACATCGCAACCCTGCAAGCAAACGATGAGCATCGGCGGCAAGAAGAATCAACTGTGACGGGAAATGTGGCGCCATTGGTCGGTCGAGTTATTTCCTTTCGCTGTAAATTTGCGGTGCGCGGGAGGCAATGCTACGCTCCCTCTTTTTTGCCGTATCTCCCTCAAACGTGCACGGGCCCTACCACCGCCCCGCCCCGCCCCGCCCACCTTCAAACCAGTGGATAACCCCGAAGTTTCTTGGTAGGGAAAACAGCAGGCACGGCAGGCAGAGGCCAGGAGGACATTCCGGCGATCCTAGCTCGAACGGTGACAGAGGCGCGAACGGTGCCGGCTGCNGGCGGGGGGTTTAACCCTTGCCAACATGTGTGCACACTCGGCGGATGCCCTGGGTACACCTGCAAATTCGCGAACGACCTGACTCACGAGTGCCTTAGAGGGAACTGTGCGTGCATGCATTGTCATGTGTTGTGGAGGATCACGCGCAAAGGGAACGCGAGAAAGGTGAGGGTAGGCGGGAGTGGCAAGCTGGGGGTAGGGAGGCGTCACAGCAGCGGCGGTCACTGGAGGAGCAAGCGAGGCGGGAGAGGGTACAGGAGTGGTTTCAGCAGTGGCAACAACAACAGCAACAACAACAACAACAACAACAGCAACAGCACCACTTAGGCCAGGGATTTGGGGGGGCGTCAGGTGGGAGTAGGGTAGGGTCAGTCAGGGGCTCCGCGGGTGCTATTGGGGGAGGACGTCGAGGACAAAGAGCGCGAGGGGGTGGAGCAGCAGGGCGTCGTGTACATGTACAGCCCTATCCAGTGCCCACCCATCCTATGCCGCCCCAGCCAATGCCGCCCCAGCCAATGCCGGCCCACCCGGCGCCCACTGCCAGGACAACCCCCCGCCCCCGAAATACCCGACGGTGTGAGGCCGCTTGAGTGCTGCTGGAGCTGTGGGGGGAAGAAGACAAAAAAGCACGCCGACCCTCTGGTGATCTGCGCGTCAACTACGTGTGACTCTAGAGCACGGAAAACGCTGAGGTGGATATGTCGGTGCCCGGCATGCGCCAATAGAACCACGACCCCTACGTTCGAGTGCTGATACTGTGCTAGAACCAGAGATGCCACGGCAGCAAAGGACTGCGATTGTCACACGTGAGTCGGTATTGGGTGGGTGTTGTCGGTATTCAACAGATGTTCGGGCTCACTGGCGGCAACTGGCTACACTCACTGTTGAATACAGGTTATCACGTGTCTTTTATTTTTGGGATGCTGCCGGTGCTGTTTGTCTGCAAGAGGAAGATCTGCCGTGTACCCTGATCCTTCACGGTCGTTCATCGCTCTTTTTTTCCCCATGTTCATGTGGCACTCGTTGTTTATCGGGTAGGGGTGATACCGACGATGTGCACAATAGAGAGGGTCAGGAAACAGAAGAAGGGGACAGCAGCGGCTGAGGGGGATGTGCAGCTGAGTGCGAGCTCGAGGATAGCCCATCGCAAGACACCAACGGATGCGTTCAGACTCCCGCGCGCTGCGAGTGACGGCGAATCTCTCTTCTCGGCGTCAACTACTAATACGACAGGAAAGCATCGTGTGATCGTCATCATCCGATTTGAAGAAGTACACCACAAGACCACACCTATCATCAGCTGTACGGGGCAAGCGTGCAAAATCGTGAGTGGTTCGATAGGCTCATGCTTGGTGCATATCTTTTTGGTGAAAACTTTTTGTCATCGATCATGGAGGTTGCTTCTGGGGCTCCACGTGTGTACCTTGAACGGGTATTGAATGTCGTTGCCACCAAAAACAAAATTCAGAGGTCGGTTGGTGCAATAATGACGAACTTGAACCTTTAGTCTCCGACAGATCTACATAGCTTGTTTGGGCACAAGGGTCAGGGTATTTGGAGATTTCGCGGTATGCTATGCGGGTTTGATATTAACCGCTAGGAGTCCTGGCGCCGAGGGAGAGGTAGGTACTAGGCAATCACGAAATCGTTCTGGGGTTCGGTGTCGTATCATTGCATGCTACGTCACGCAGGGTTGGCGGTTTTTACGGCCGGCTCTTCTAGACGGGGAAGACACCGCTGTCGATGGCGTGTGTGAGCACGCTCGCGTCGTCCTCCAAGACGGCCCGGACCATCGCGGACAACATGCCGGCAGCTGAGCACGTGACCTCCGACCCTCCAGGGGTAGTTGAGCAGGCCAAAGCAGTAGCGCGAGCGGCCATATGGGTACCAAGTACGCGAGAGAGATAAAAACTTTGGCCGACGCTGCTACCAGCTCTGGCGTGCCGCTCGTGCTTCGCCTGGGAAACACGGAAACGTTTGCGGCGCGCCACGTTGGCCGATCTGTGCCTGGTAGCTGGGGGCCCGTGCAGACTACAGATATCGCGCGCCCGGCAGGATCCAGCCCGCAACAATCAGCCCGAAGGAGAAGCACGGAAAATGTCAAGATCCAATGCAAGGTGGATGTCGCTTTTGTGGATTCCGCATTTTGCGTGGTACCCTGCCGGGTACTCCCAAGTATACTGAAAATAACATGTGTCGAAATAGCAGCCTAATCAAGATCACACAATAAAAGATCCGACATCGTATCCTCCCCCCCCCTCCCCGAAGGTCAGAAAAATACATAATTTGCCTTCGTTCGATGTTGACGGTTCATGAGCCGATCGAAGTAAGACGTGTAGAGAGGAAAACTCCCATGCGCTTTACGAGACTTTGGGTACAGGTTTTAGGTGGTGGTGCGCCCTCTATGGATGCAGTATGACGAACCCAACAGACTTTCTGTGAGGGTTTCAAGGGGATTGCAGACGCGTGTTCTCGTCCGCGTGCCTCCTCCCCTTGAGAGAGGTCCAGAATAAAGTTGCGGGTGTTAGGTGTTGTCAATGGTGCATTGACCGGCGTGTTTGCCTTTGATTCATCCGGAAACATGCAGGCAAATAGTGGAGCTGCATGCAGCGTGGCGCACTCCAAGCCGAATGGACAGAAGGAATGCCAACACACCTCGGTGGTCGGGCTTGGCGTTTCGGGCGGCCATTTCAAGAACAGCATGGGTGTGGATGGTGGCAGGAATGGGGAGGGTGGAAGGAGCGTGGAGGTTGGCACTGGGAGAGCAGAGTGGAACCGGGGGGTGAGCGCACGACGAGCCTTTCTCGGAAAATGAAGCAGCTGATGAAGATCATCGGTGTGTTGAGGTTCCCCGTCAACCCCGAGCACCATCTATCAGCAAGAGCCCGCCAGATTCTGGTCGAGGGCAGCGACATCCCCTGTCACGAGAACGTGTGCGCAGCATGCCTTCGGGGCAACGTCGTTTTGGACAGACAAGAAGCGATAGCTGCAAGGCAGGTGCGCCATTTCCCCCTCGTTGCCACAGCTTTTTGATAGAGTGGACGGCAGTTCGAAGTAGCTTAATAGGCAGTCGGGAAACGCATACCAGTAGTGCTAAAAATTTGCGCACTTCCAAAATCCTATGTCAAGTAGTTCTCATGTTCCAACCGCAAGAGCCACAGAATATAGTTAAGGAACTGACGTACATCAGATTGGGGGCTACTTCTGTGCAATTTCGCTGTCATGCGAATGATGCTTGCGTGTCAGAATTGAGTAAAGAGTGTGGGGTTTGACTTTGGCTTTGCAATTGCGACCCTGCTCTTGTCTCTCAGGACAAGTACATTGTGGACATAGTCATCGAGAAGAAGGGGTGTGCATTTTGCCGCAACGTGCGAGGGGTGCCGGGCGACGAGTGGCAACAACACGGGTACTTCGTATTCGGAGAGACAGCTGTCCACATCGAGTTGCCACTGGAGGTTAGGGCGCTCGTACACGGTGGCACACCCATCACGACAGCATGGCGAGGTCTCTTGCAGCACCTGGAAACCGATTTGATATGGATGGGAGAACACCCCAAACTGGCAACAAGGTGAATAGAGGGAGGTATGCGAGTTTCTCAGTTTAGGGTCCTGGAGGACGGGTCAAGTAATAGTGCTTTAGCATGGTCGGGTTTCGAACATCACCTCCTCTGTACACCACGCCCACCTTTTTCTAATACTTGGTTCGGTCCACGACCCCTTCTTGAATCCCTGTGTTCAGGATTCTGTTTTGATGTGAATATACGTAATGCTCTGGCATCCAAACGTGACGCGGTTCGTATCAGAAGGGCTGAAGAAACCAAGGCTGACGACTTTTACGCATTGTCTTGTGTTAGCTGGTAATGTTAGCTAGGCCCGACGTGTGTACGGACATCGATATTGCATATTTCAAAAGTAAGTGTCTTCCTCAATTTCGACTTCCCTGAACCTGAACGGGCTGGGTGGCACTTGCCTCTGTAACGACCCCCCCCTCTGGAATCGGATGCAATCGGATGCCTTGTGTTCGTTTTCTCCTCCTGTTTTTCCGCTGCAAGGGTTTCGACGGGGATGGACGGCCTGACCCGATCACTGCTAGAAGTCTTTCTCGCCTTCGAGGCTCTCACGGATCATCCGTGCGAGTTTTCCAGCATAGCCGCGGGGTATTTCCCTCTGATAACATCTTGCGATGGCTGCAATAAGCTTTCGACCAACAACATGACGCTGGAGATGTTCCTGGCTCAGCGTGAAGAACAAGTGACTGACATGGACCTAACGGCTTGTTGGCTTTCGCTGAGCGTGCTTTCGCCCATGGTTTTCTCGAAGCGGCTGCAGTTCGTGTACACGACACCGATCACGTTCTGCCGACACAACCGGAAGTCGAACATATTTGTTCTTGCGGAAAGAGGGGCCGTCGGGAGAAACCAAGACTTGGAGGGATTGGACTACAACGAACTCAGCGCTTGGGTGAGGGGATCGGAGGAATCGACAATGGCGGTCCTGAATGGTGCGACAATGGACAGATTGAAGGCCCTCTACAAGAGATGCTTGCGAAAGAATAGGAAGAAGACTACTGTTCAGTGAGTACTGAATGTTGTGCTCCAGGCTGGTTTTCGGCCGTTGATGGAGCAGGATGGTTCGAAATACACTGACAGCAGGTTTCGAACTGTAGGCACATTTTGGCGTCGAGATGTCTCTTTTCGAGGAGATACGGCAGTGCCGGCATTTGAGGCCGATTTTAGATGACCGGTCAGAATTTTGAGTGCGGCAATGAATTTGGAAGTGTTTTGAACATACGACATGCCCGTGAAGCCGTGACAATACCCAGTCAAACGTAAGTAGAAGCAGTTTACATTCCAAGATTAAATAAATATGCTATGAAATATGTGCTGGATGGAGGGCACAGGAAAAAATATGCACGGAAAGTGGGTCTTGGACCAGTGTCCTCCATCGTTTGCGAAGTTCAGTGAGCACATGGTCTTCATAGTAGGGTTAGCGATGATATACGAACTTTTATACCTGCAAAGTCGACAGACATTTTCCCGTGATTGTTTTATTTACGGCGCACAAGTAGATACACATCAAGTTATCATCATATTGCCCCGCGGAAAAAATCCGAGACGACAATTATGTAGCAGTTGTTTTTCGTTTTAATTTTCATGCTAAATTTACGGTTGTTATACTGCGGTCCACTCCGAAGCGGGTCGGAAATCATCCCACCGCAGTGTAAAGTAGTTCTGAAAGGAGGGCTTTCCAAACATACATACCAATTTTACTGTTGGGTCGCCGTATGTGTTGAGTTATTGCGGTCTTGGTGGGGTGAAGTGCCTCCTGCGGTAGTGATAATAGGGCCGTAACTTTCTTCAGAAGACGAACCAACAGCTTCCGATGCGCTCATTCGAACGCTGCGAGGAGAGCTTTCTCACGAATACTTTGGATCCACTCGATTATTTGGTGTGCGTGTTTTTTCACTCTCGACCCCTAATACCGGTCTTACATGCCGTCACTGGGTCGGGAACATCTACTTCTGAGATTCCTAACCGAAGCTATGCCATGCTGTCGTCTTTGTGCCTCTCTTGCCGTAAACCTTACACCAGGCCCGAAACTGTACCTTTGATGCGGGACCTGTTCGCGAGGCTCTACGAGAAGGCCCTCAAAGATACTGGAGGCAGCGTGGAATGCTCCAAGGCGCTGATGGGTCGGGGCTTTGCTGCGACGACTGGTGTTGAAGGGTTCTACTCTGTATCCGATGGGGTGCAAATTATGCACATGTTCCTGCTGCGGCCGGAGGGACCCGTCGACGTGGCCAACATGTTCCTGTTCTGCAAAGTATGTCGTGAAGTTGGAGAAAAATTTGCTTATATGGAGGAGCCCAACGCGTCGATCAGCCCATCTGCAAAATACGAAGTCGTAGCCCATCTGTTACTCGATGTACCCACGAGTATGAAACGTTGAAAAGTACTTGCCGACGGCCGTCCCAAACGGAGCGTTCCTTTGCCCTGGGGCTCTTTACACTGGGCGAGAAAAAATCAATACAGCACTCCGTGAAAATAATCCTGATTTTATCAGGCCATATTGGGTCCCCGCGAACCTGACCTTAGGACTCGAGACTCGAAAGTGTTAGAAGTTGCTACTTTCCTTATCTCCGAATCAAAGACTTGGAAGACAATATTTGTTCGTTCAGGCCGGCCCTCCCGCAACGACGCAGACATAACCCCATGCTTGCCGAGTGATTCATCCCCGTTCCCGGCTAGGTCCGGCTACTGCCGTCTTGGAACATGGTACACTATTTTGACGTTGCCTTCATCATCCCGGTTCACCCATTGTCTGTGGCTGCCGTGCGTGGTTGTAGATTTCTACCAATCCTTCTCATCACAGATTTGATGTGCCGTTTAGGGCCAACCGTCCACAGTAGGGCACCTGCTGTGGTCGAGAATGAAGGTGCACTCCCGCGGGATGGCGCCGGCAACGTCGATATCCCTTCGCTGGCGACGGAAGGCGTCCACGTTGGCGGCAGCGTGGATGGGCGTGGGAAGCCACAGGCAGAGGCAACATGCACCCAATACCGCGTGTACAACGTGCTGCGCGACGCGGGACTCAACCCACGGGTTCAGCGTGGCACCGACTTCGCTGCGCTCATGGACCTGTATGCGAGGGAAGGGTGCAATGGTCTTTACGGGAAGTCTTTCGCTACCCGTGCTAGGAACCTTTTTGCGTTCGTTGCACGGCCGGAGCCGGTACTCCGTTGATCTCATGGAGGAGGTTGTCGCAGTGCTCCACGCGCGTGTGAGAGCGATCGTGAGAATGCTCGAAACGGAAGAAAGCGAGGAAGAGGCGGACGCGCTCGCGCCATACAGGGATGGGCTGGGGTTGGTGAAGGTGTACAGTAAAGAGATTTTTCCGCCCATGTGCTCAAGATAGCGGGGGGATTCGATACTGAGCAAGTACCAACACTGCCTCCGTTCTACGAGAAACTCCCACCCCGCCACATGGGGGAATTCCTTTCCGTGTGCTTCGTGCCAGAGATGGGTCAGCAAGTACGTTGATGTCCGGGCAGAGGGTGGACAAATGGACGCGGTGATGTTGCAGCACTCAGAGGTGTGTGCACTCGGATCCGTGTTGTAGGTTGCTAGAATCCCGTCGTCCCTGTCCTTGTCCTTGTCAGATATCTGTATGACCAGTGCGTGATGATCAACTCAACCGTTAATATCACCCGATGCGTGTCGGCGTTCCCCTGCAGGAGAAGGAGACATGCATCGCCGAAAAGCTCGGGCCAGAAGGCGACGAAAAGAAGAATATCGCAGGCAAGCATTTAACTACCTTCCTTGCGGTGCCATGCCGCCCGACTTCAGCCCCCCGCCAGCAACTCGCCATGAATGTGTTTGGGGGTTTGTGCTGAGAAACACATCATTACCATGTGTTTGTCGCTGCTTCTTGTTCGTGCGTGCATACAAGTCCAGGCGGTTCCCAAAACCAGCTACCTTTCCTGATTTCGCCTGCTCGAACCCGTCGCTGGCATCCTGTTTTAACGATACAGTGCTAAAACATTTGCCCCCTTCGTTGAGTGCGTCAACACACTAAAAAGGTCACGCCCCCCCCACCTCCTGTTCTTCCATTTGTTGTTCAGTTCAAGCTCTGCGCTCCGGGTCAGTATTTGGTGCGGCAGCATACTGTCCGAATTTCATTCAAATTTGGTGTTCGAACGGCAACCCCGGCGACACCGCGGACAAGGACGGAAAGGTTGCTAGGTTTTCTGTCTGCTTCAACATCCAAGCAGACGACACGCCGAAAGAGCGTGTTCCCCACTCCTACAACGCGGAGAAGGCCGGACCGTATTTTGCGCCTGATCACCTTCATGACTTTAATCACGGCTCCGACTGCCGTGATAAATACGGCCAGGTTAATACTTGCAGTCAGTTGGCAGGAGTCAACTGTAACGTACACGAACAAAATCACGCGAGGAAGAAGTTTCTGGGAATGATCAATACCATGGGGTTCGACCGGTTGTCCTTCATGGTAGCGTTCGTCAATAAGATCGAGAATGAGGCCATCAACCACCGTACTCTACAAGTGTTGGTCAACTCCGAACGTCAACATAGAAGCAGTCGATTAGCTGTTTGTAAGGTGGAGATTTGGTTGACCGGGCGTTGCTGTTGTGAGAAGTCTTTGCAATTGCGGGATGATCAGTTCGGCCGAGCACGACTATTTTTATGTAGAATTATGCCCCTTCTTTTCGGAGTCGCAGCCGAGGAACCAAAGGCCGAGGAGGAGATAGTACGGGATTTTGATTGGGGTGTGGGTTGTGTGCGTAGAATTAGGTGAGGGTAGAGACGAGGACCATTCGGATTCGCGTGCGTACGAGTTCGAAAGAGAGGTACCGTTCAGATAATTTGAGTGATTTTCCGATACCTTGCCTCAGGCACCCGCAGCGGTGTGGGTTACGTCTGAAAAGTATCCTTCTCGCAGATTGGCTTTTAACCATCGAACAATAACTTTGCGTCCTCACGGGAAACAAACAACAGCGAACGGATTCCATTCGTGCACCCGATCGACGCTGTCCTAGGACCCGGTAGGAAAAAATGACATAAACCGGAGCAGCATAGGCGAATGGAAGGAAACTGGTGGGTCGTTTCTGAATCTCTTTCCGGTCGCCTCGAACACATATGAAGCTCGGCAGCGCCAATCACCTGATGTAAAACGCATCTTTAGCGCTTTTTCGTGGGTTGGGATCCGGTCGGCCGCTGGTTTTCGCGCGAGCGTACGGCAAAATACCGAAAACAGCCATGTGGCAGAAGTGCACAGGTTCTAATCACGTGGCATGCACTCTGCGGGCTAGGCCCCGTTCTAGGCACGCGAGAAAAACGGAAGATTCTGTGAGCTAGATCAACTTTGTGAGTAAGTACCTCGTTCACGTCGTAATTGAAAACCATGTTTCGGTGCGAAGACGGTGCTCATGACGGCCCAGGTGCCCCGGGACTGCGCTACTCTCCACTAAACGTGTGTGTGCATGGACCAGTCGAGCGTGATGGAACCTCGCTACAGTGGAAGGTCCCTCAAACAATCCCGGAAACGCTCACGCGTGCCGTACCTCCCGGCGTCCGAAATCAGGTATTGCCATTTTGGCCATTACCCACCCCTTCCAAGGCACTCACGGCATCGTTTCAGAGACGCACGGTGCACTTGACGTTTTCTTCCACAAACAGTCGTGTACCCAAGGACCCCGGAAACCACTTTCTTCTGCGGGAAAAATAAGTTCGATTACCACTAGCATGTGTCCTCCTTATTATTAGGGGTCTCGTCAACCCCAGCCCCGCCCGCCCAAAAAATATAACGGAGCGATTTTTTTCGACCCCGAAGATGGACCGCCCAACGGCACGCCGGGTCCTATTGGATGGCCGCTAGACTCGTCCAGGGCACGCATGGAGCTCGTCAACGCAAAAAAAAACGAGGCAAAATGATTTTCACGTTTTTTTTGCGGTTTGCGCTCTAAACGGCCGCCGTCGGTTTTAGCCGAAACCGGGACACAACCAACCGTAGGATGCCTTCTACGTGAAAATAAAACGTGCTTGGGCATGCTTTCTGAAACACGATGGGGTATTTCCCTGCTCTTCTACATTTATTTGTAGGGAATACAAAATAGGCCATCGTCTCGGCAGCACAGTCGGGAAACAATCTTTGTCCTCTGGATGGAACGGTCGATGAAGAAGGTAGCCGCGATGGGTGTCTAGTAGGCGTTTGTTGTCTACTAGCAGGTGGTCTACCGGATACGAGATTCTACAAGGAAGGAGGTCGGTATCAGATACCAGAACGGTGATAGGGCCATCGACACCCCTACATACATCGTGATCGGAAGTTGCCCTAGATCGTGACCAGAACTTGTCGTACTAGACTACAGTACTTTTGGTTGGCAAACACGAACGTACATAGACTAGACCCAGTTGGCACCTTTTCTTTGCAGCAATCTTTCCCACTAAAAATCGATGCATCAGTCAACGCTTTTTTTCTAACTCCACGTATTGAGACCAAGTTTAACATTTCTACAACCCAGCAGCAACCACAGGGTGCGCCCCAACTCTTCCCCTGCCTTGCGTTGGCGTGCGAACGAACAGTGACAAAAATGACTGGTGGTGAAAAAAGCGCGACTGACTGCGATACGGAGAGGAAACGAGTCGCAGTATCAGGCACGGTTTCGCTTGTAGCACCTCTCAGTGCACAGTAGTTCACCTGTAGTAGCACCTCTCCGTGCAGTCCATTATTAATTTTCTCGCGGAGCCACGCAGACGGCGGGTAGGTTGCAGTACGTCTGCCTAACCAAGGTCGGTTGTTCAATCAACTACTGCTGTACATGTAGTATATATAGCCAAGCAGCTCCAGCCCAATAAATGTGATACAATCTCTAGCTGCTTGCTGCTTGTGCTGTAGTCCAATAAGGAGATGAAGCTCACGAGAACAGCACCCCACGTGTTTCGAGGGAAGAGGAGAACGAAGAATGAAGGCTGCTACATGTAAGCTGAGAGGGCAGACAGACCGAGAGACAGGGTTCGTGAAGCGCACTGCTGTGTTTGCAAGAGATGTTGTTAATGTGACCGTTAAGTTAGAGCGTGGTGGACTTTTGCAAGCAGGTACCAAGACACCACACACCCCTCACTCGATTTTCAAAGATTGGATGTACTCCACAGAAGTAATTGTGGCGGTGCCTCAAATGGTGGCGTTGGGTGGCGTTGGGTGGCGTTGAAACATCCTCTGCGTCGTGGATGTGTGGAGCTTTGGAAATAGGTCCAGGGGGTGTGGTGTGTTGTGTTACCCCGTACGCCGTATGCCTTGGGCGCCTTCCGCGCTCGAGTGTGCAGCGGTCCAGTTGATGATGTTCCCCGAAGACTAAAGCTCCAAAAAGTGTGTCAGGGTGCTTTGGTGGGGTGTAGGCCTAGTTCCGCGGGTTAAATTGAGTGCCCGACGTCGGGATGTTGAGGTTTCAGCCATATGTAGTGTTTTATACTGCACACTGTATGAAAAAAAAAACGGGGATGAGGCTAATACGTCCCCCCCCTTTGGAAAAACGGCGATAAAACGTGTTTATAGGGCCATTTTCAAGCGCGTTTTTTGGGCTACTTGATGCGTGCAACCGCGGAGATTTACCACAAGTATACCCTGTGACATATGGGACATTTATTTCACCGACGTGCTTGAAAATAATGTATGTTGTGCAATATATATATGGAAAAAGACAGCCTATTTGGGCGACAAACCGTGAAAATATTAGCCACCAGCGCCTGCAAATATTGTTTTCTCCTGCTGGAGACCCTTTTTTGGTATCCCAAACCGCAAGGGAGACGACCTGCTGCTGAACGTGAATACAACAACATGCAACAAACAGCACACAGCAACAAAAAAAGTACAAATACTGCAACAAAATTACCCAAAAAAACAGAAGAACATCGAAGAGAAAAAGGCGTCAATCAACACATGACGTGCAACACGGACACCCCTCAATCCCCTACACCACAAGACGTCCGGGTTACCTTGTGCTTGCCCGACACATCCTTCACCATACCGACCATCCCCTCATACTTTTTGGCCGGGACGCAGTCGTCGTAAGCTCCAACACTGCACTTCGAGCAGTAGCACGACGCCTGGCGAACGCGCAGCTTGTATCGCTTCGTGACAGCCGGAACCGTCAGAACGATTGATTCGTCTGCCTGCCATCTCAGCGGGTTAACTACAACCTCGTTCTCGCCACCTACGAGGGGAGGAACCCCGCTCTCTTTCTGCACCTCTACGCTCACGCCCGAGCTTTCCTCCTCCTGGACCTCCGCTCCCATGAACTGGTACAGCTTGGAACTCCCAGAGATGCCGGTCAAATCTACAAACGGGCGAGGGATCTCTCGGTGTCCAAGAAGCTTGATGTGGAACCTCCTGATTCGGTAGGGAGACCAGGTTGAAAAGTGGCCTCCTCCATCCTCCTTTGCCTCGGCGTAGGCTTTGAGGAAGTCGGCTGCGGCTTCGGTGTCGTGGATGCGCTGGCCCCTTTTCTCCGCTTCTCGCAGTAGAGCCTTCAGCAACCCTCCGATGCCATCGTGGGCGCCTTTGAAGTGCGACGTGACCGCGAAGTTGTGGATGAGGATGGCACCAAGCCTGTGCAAGCTCTTGGCTACGGCATGAAAGTTGCGCTTCCCCTTGTACTGTTTGGCGCACCCGTCGGTGAAGATGTGCACCGTCGGGGTCGGGGTTCCAGCAGTAGCGGCCCGCCCATCCCCCGTGATGTAGTACTGAAGGATGATGTCCATGGCGTAGATGTGGAAGTCGAAGTCATGATTGGGATCACTCGATACGAAAACCCATGCGTCTGTCTCATGCCGGCCGTTGTCGTCAGGACTGTGGTGAACTAGGGCCACCATCATGGTCGTGGAGGGCGCAGTAGCGCACGTCAAGATAGCGCCAGCCTCGTGCTTGTACTTCTCGATAAAGTCGGTCTCCACCAACAGCTCGCCTTTGGAGAACGTCGCCAGGCACATGTTGTGGGCTTGGCGCTGCCACTTTGCTAGCTCATGGTGATGAAGATACTGAGGGATAAAAAACGAACGGGGGGCAAGGGGGGGGGCGGGAAAATATAGTTGTAAGTTGAAAGGAAATAACGGTTGTACGTTGCGCGATTGATTGTGTTGATGCACGATTGACTACATGCCTCCAGTTGATGGCGCAATTCCACATGCGGTCCATTCCTTCACACCTTCTTGGAGTGCTCCACAAACTCCTGCCACAGGTCACCCAGTTTTCCGCCCTGGGGTAGCTGCTGCTTCTTGTGCACTTTCCCATCCTCCATGACTTGATCCGCGAACCGAAGCCACCCGACTACTCTGTCCGCCATAGACCCCAGGGCATCGCAGTTCATGGGGATGCCGCCTGGGTTGCCAAACCCGCATTCGGAACATTCCATCGCAACGCATGCGGGCTTCCTCCCCCAGTGCTCAAACCTACCCCCTCGGTCCTCCTCAAGAAAGTCTACCTTCTCGCAAGCCAAAGCCTCAGAAAAGCTGTGCAGATCTTTACACATGGCCATCCACTTTCCACACCCACTCCCCCCGTCGCACCACTTGCACGTGCAGTCACAGTTGGCATGTATTGCAGGCATCAACATCTCGAAGGCCTTCAGGTACAGCCCCTGCTGCGTGTGGATCTGGCATGCACACTGCGATACCTTGGGTTCCACTGTGACACACCAGAAGCGAACATTTGAAACGGACAGAAAGGAGGACAGCAGGTCAGCAACGAGGCCGTCCTCTGGGGCGGTGACACAGCAGAAGAGTTCATTACGCTGGAACGGTCACTACGCTGTTTCGTGGGAAAAAAAAAAGGAGCTCTCCCCTCATGTCTACCCACCTAAGCACCCACACCGCGTCGAGAGGAACAGCGTCCGCCCAGGGTCCGTGAAGCTGTTGTCTTCCCTCAGCAGCTCCGCCTTAAGCCCCAAGTACTCCGGCCACTTCAGAAACTTGTGCCATACTTGGTCCCCCGCGACCATGAGCTGCCTACGGGGGTGATACTCCTCCCCTGCCTTCTTGGACGGCCTCCACATAGCTTTCGTCCCTACAGGGGTGTACGAAAGAACAGCAGTGTGCAGTGTAGCAGCAATAGTGAAGCTACCTAAAGGGGAATAGAGAAGTGCAGTTGATACGTCACGTCGACAAAAAACGGCAAAGGAGATACCCCGATCTCCAATTGTATAACAATTTTTTTTGACAACGCCTTCCGCTTACCGGAGTCTCCCGACGCACGAGAAATATCGTCTGAGTGCCAGAACCTCCTCGCCAAACCCATGACACGTTCGTCCATCTTGTCGCTCCTTTCCTTGCGAGGAGCCCAGAGGTATCTCCCCTTCTCCAAAGCTTCCTGTGGAGGTATGGTGTGGTCAGTCCTGTGCATCCGGGTACGCGCTGCACGGAACGTGGCATCTCTCACACCGAGACTCTGTGCTCGCGCGGTAAGGCTGACGGCACCATGCGGCTCAGCAGGTGCGCACGGCTCATCCGGGGTGCAAGGGTCATCAGGATCGCACGTGTGCTGCGCTCCGGCAGCTGCGGCAATGACGGTGTTGTAGGCAGTGCGGCCGATGTTGCTGTGGGAGTGTTGCTTCAGCGCCTCTATAGAGGCGACCAGTGCGCGAGTGTTCTCCGCATCGACAGCAGCCTTCGTCGCCGCTGCCTCTCCAAGTTCTCCGACACGCAGCAACTCCCTCAGCTCCTCCTTCAACACATCATCCTCTAACACGCTCTGCTTCACCCCGTCGCGGTGCCCGTCGATAGCCTGGGTTTGAGGCCCGTGTTTATGGTCACCAAATCTTTGAAAAAAATCTTCAAATGTTTCCAAATATTTGCGTGCGAATATTTGTCAGAGGAACATTTGAGTACCGCTGTTATTGTTGTTGTTGTTGTCTTCACATTAAAAACCATCCCGGTCTCTCTATCCAGTACCT